TTTGAATGGAAACCCTACTTTGTTCTTCATTCTTCTCTGGATACACAGCGATAGACTCAGTTGCGCTGGTAGTGTTTATAGCTTTTTTGTTAATTAAGTAAGAAGGTCAAATTCTTAAATTCTGTTCGCCCTGTGAATCATTTATTGGGTGACGTATGCCGGTAGAGTCGCCAAAGCTGCACATCTGGCCTTCCAGATACTTTCCTAAAGTTAATGAAAAATTTTTATGAGGAGTTCGTTTGTAATGAGGAAAAGTGATAAACAATTTGGTAATTTTTAGGAACAGCAAAAAACTTACTGTAGATTTGGAAGAAAGAAACTGATTGTACTATGTAACAGGTATATTGAACGATTTAACGAAAAATATTAGCAGCGATTGCTGAAGGAGTAATAACTTCCAACATAAACGTCGACAGCAAATAAATAGCCGTCAAAAAAATTTTCAACTCTTGGGCCCATGCCAGCATTTTCACTATTTCTAACAAATAAAATAAGAATTGAAATTTGCACTGCAGGTGCTATCGTTACTTATCTTCCCGTAAGAAATAATGGAAATCCCAAATATTACTAGTTTTTTTGCATTTATTTAGTTTTCTCGATATAGCCAGTTGAGTAATAAGTAAAATCGTTTTTCTGTATGATTAGGGAAGAATAAACTTTGTTACTGGAGTTTTACCTTTGGCTGCAAAAAAATTCTGTGCCCTCATCAAGTTTCCTACTGGCAGCACAAAACCACTTAAAAAACAAACGTTTTTAAATGTAATCCACATTTTCAGTTAATAGACAATCGTCTTGTGGACATTAGCCTTCTTCACAAATCTCAAAACAAAATGAGGCTCCAGTGTAGTTGATAACTCCATTCTTTCAAAATCGTTGCAATACTTGACGCTCTTCTTGTAAATAAAAGTCCAGCTTCTAAACACTCTGCGAAGGCAAAAATGTAAGAAATATAAAAACCGTGCAGTAGCGATAAGGGTTCTTTTTATTAGGATACACCAAAATAACAAAGGAAGTCAAAATGAGGTTATTTTTCGGTCAATCAATAAAAAATAAACCACGACTGAGCTTTTTTTAACATTCCTAAAACGAAGATCTTTTATCGTGTATAGAAACATGTCTGATAGCTGTACATCTTCAACTACTTTCCTACAGCTAATTACTAAAAAGTGTATAATAACACACAGTTCTGACAATTTTTTGACACTTTCTAACAATAAGTTCATTTGGAGGTGCCATACACGTAGGTCATCATAGAAGTGGCAAGGGAGGAAGAAGGCTCTAGGTTTCAAAGCAAATGAAAATTAGTTTTCAATTAAAACAAATAGACGAAAGAACCAAATATAAGATCACTAACACTACAGGAGATTTCAACTGGAAAATCAAGCATCAGGCACAGAAACAGACAGATATCAGTGTAATCACCATGTATAACAATAGTGAGGAATATTTTTTAGAAGGAAAAAGTTAGGAAGTAAACTGTACACTTAGAGCCAGTAAATAATATAAAAAATAACTAAAAATACTAAAGGAATTATAGGTATAAAGTTATAAAAAATATTTTGAATTGAGCAATTAAGTCAAAATTTTTGTCTGAAAGACTCGCGTATTAAAAATAAGGTTTGAAGGGTTATATCGTAACATTGTCTGAGTCTTTCAGCCCTTACTTTTCAGCACCTACTGTTAATATGATATTATTTATTCCGGAGTAGATTTTAAATATTACGAGACTATATGAAGAGTTGGGGTTGCTGTCTAATACAGTCTCATTTGAAGTAAATAAAACGCCCATGAGGTTGATGTAACTTTAATGAAAGTGTGCTAGCATTTAGTAGTAACTTTTGCTTTTACCATTTTAAAATTTGACTAAAATATAAACAAAATTTTTTACAATTTAATTAATATGCTCAGTCGCATGAATTACGCTCTTGAAAGAAAGCAATACGATTGTGGCCAACTCAATCTTTTTCATGCCCGTTGTCGTAACCAGTGGGAAAACTGGATATGATGAGTATTTTGAATCTAGTGGGTTTTTGTAATAACAAAAGTGAAGTTAGAGAGGGACAAAATGTAGAGACTAGAGTGAACAAATAAAAATGGCCAGGGTAAACTCAATTAATTACTCTCAATTTATAATCATTAGAAATAACTTTATTTTTTTGAATAAAGTTGTTAGGAAGGGTATGGCGATTGCACGATGTATGGGCGAAAATTCGAAAACGTAGCGCAGCAGAATAAATATGGTAGAGTGTGACGATATTAATGAAAAATTAGCTCATTATACAGCTAAACTAGGATATTTAGGTTAATGAAGGACCTATTCAAACAATCTTGAAATCCAAACGTTTGACAGCATATTGAAATTGAACTAGCGCAGTTTTCATATTTTCAAAAACCTCACTATGTACAAAGATAGGCTGTTTCAAAGAAAACTGGGGTTTAACCAATTCCTGATATTGACTATTTTGATATTTTATCAATATAGCACAATGGTGTCGGTACCAAAAACCAATTAAGAGTTGTGTGAAACACTAAATAGAAGCTCTTGATAACCAAATTAATCTGCGGCGTACGGTAGTTAATAGGGTAACCGTCTTTCACAAAACAACATTATACAGCAAAAAAAAAGGTTCTCAAATGGAAATAGGGTAATGCACAAATCTAGTCATTTATGTAATAGCTATAATAGATATACTTCTCGATGGCGCTCTAACGATATATGTATTAAACAAATATACATTCACGGCTTCAAAATTATAACCGTTACCTTTATTTAAAATCCTAGTGATAAAACATCAGTAACTAGATTGCCTGTGACTATTAAATCTAGATAAGTAAGTAAATAATCGGATTTTTCTGTATTGAATACTGAACAATTTTCATA